AACCTTGCCAAAAGCCCCTTGATCATCACTGACAAGCTTCCTGACTCCCAATTAGGCAAAGATGCCCACTCCAGTAAACACCCTATAGCACCCCAACCAATCACCTAATGCCAGCCTTCCAGCAGGAATTTTTTCTGAGGCTGTAAAAATTTACTATTAACCCACTAACACTGTCGGTTTTCCCTGGTTTTCCCTAATGGTGGTTGGACCGCTGTGCTCAGAGTGTCCACTTTATCTCTGCTCTTTGTTCTTAATAAATTTCTCCCTTCTGAAATGCTCTGTGTCTGGAAATTCTTTTCCAACCCGTGCTTGGACTGCTTCAAAAAAGTGTGGGATATGAAATTCTAATGCTGTCTCTGCTTTGATCTGACACCTTTCCATACCTCGAGCAAGTCACGTGGTCATATCTTCTGGTGTGAGGGACCACGATTAAGGGGTCTGACAATAGTAACAACATTACTGCCTGGGCTTTCTTATGTTGAAGATAATGCATGCTTGTATATTTCTTCCTTCTGGTTTCCTATTTGTTAGAGGTTCATGAATCTGCAAGGGTTTCCCAGGTGGCTCAGTGGTAAAGAATACACCTGCCAATACAGGAGACTCAGATTTGAACCCTGAGTTGGGAAGATCCCTTGGAGAAGGAAATGGCAACCCACTCCAGTACTTTCCTGGGGAATCCCATGAACAGAGGAGCCTGGCAGCCCTGTGGTCTGCAAGAGCTGGACATGACTGAGGGACTGAGGACACGCATACATCAATCTGCAGTCAACAGAAAATCATCTGCTTGGTGTATAAGAGCCCTGGGCATTGAGTCAGATCTAATTCCAATCCCATTTTGGCCTCTGTTTAGCTGGAGATGTCTGACAAGGCCCTTAACCTCTCTGAATGTTTCCACACCTGTAAAGTGAAGGAGGTAAGTGGGTAATCTGACTTTTATCATTCTATCTTTGTGATATCGGGCTTCCCTAGTAGCTCAGCTGGTAAAGAATACACCTGGAATGCAGGAGACCTGGGTTCAGTCCCTGGGTTGGGAAGATCCCCTAGAGAAGGGAAAGGCTACTCTCTCCAGTATTCTGGCCTGGAGAATTCCATAGACTGTAGAGTTCATAGGGTGGAAAAGAGTCAGACACAACTGAGTGACTGATTGGATTTTAGGAAAGTTAGCATTTCTAGCTCCCAAGTTTCCACATTCTTTTAAGTAAAATGGACTCAGTGTAGTATTTTAATGCAGACATTGGATTTTCCAAATATAGCATGACCTAAAACATAGTTTTAATGCATATTTGATTTACAAAGTGAAATATTTTGAAGTTTAGAGATAATCTTCTTTTCTTCTTTTTAAAAATAATTGTATTTATTTGGCTGCACTGGGTCTTAGTTGAGCCGCTGGAACTCTTAGCTGTGGTGTGTGGGATCTAGTTCCCTGACTAGGGATTGAAACTGGGCGCCCTGCACTGGGAGCAGAGAGTCTTAGACACTGGACCACCAGGGAGGTCCTGAGATAATATTCTTAAAATGCTATTTGAAGTTTATAAGTAAACAAAATAATTATTTGAAATAAAAGGGTCCATATAATGTAGAAATGTATTGTTTTTAAATTTAGATACTGACAGAAAACATTTTGTATTTTCCTAATTTTGATGGATATCTTCTATTTCATTATGTATACTCTTTATTACAAATAAGAGGAGCACTTTGTTCCTGATCTTTTTATAATGAAGTCTACTTGGCCAATTTAGCATCAATATAATAACAAGAGTAACACTAGCTTTTGTTGGTATGTAACAGGGCTCCACTGCATTAATTTACTGAATGTGTGCTAAGTCGCTTCAGTCGTGTGGGACTCTTTGTGACCCCATGGACTGTAGCCCGCCAGGCTCCTCTGTCCATGGCATTTTCCAGGCAAGAATACTGGAGTGGGTTGCCATTTGCTTCTCCAGGGAATTTACTGAATGCTGGCAGTCAACCCATGGCATACCTACTTTTCTTATCTCTCTTTTACAGACGATAAAAACTGCGGCACAGGGAGGTTGAGTAACTTGCCTGAGGTCACACAGCTAAGGGGAGATCTGAATCTAGACAGTTCTTGAGTCCAGGACTTCTACCTATTACGAAATATTGTGCCTCCTACGCAATATTGATACGTGATTCAAAAGATGACACTAAATTTACAGGACGAGGCCCAGTAGAAAATCAGGTCGTGAGCAAAAGAAAAAAAAAAAGCTAAGAGTTTACAGACAGATCCGTTTCATTACAAATTTCCTTTGCCAAGTCTTGGGGGGGAAAAGTCATACCCATTTCGTCAACTCGGACCTTTGTTTGGTCAGCTCCACGATCTGGAACCACCAGAAGGGAACTGAAGCCCAGCCACGCAGGGGCCCTGCGCTCCAGAAGAGGGGAGCTGACGCCAGAGGGTGACGAGAAGGTGCCCCCGCCACCGGGGAAAGCGCGAGCCCCACGGGTGAATGACTGCTTCGGCCCGCTGGTGGCGGAGGGGCGTTGCGCCGGCGCCACAGGCATCCGCTGCGGTGTGGACACCCCGCGCCCTCTGCCCAATCGGCTCGGCGGGGGCAGACAAAGAGCGCTCGGCCTCGGCCGGATTCTCGGGAGGAAGGGAAGTCGGGGTGAGTTCCCCCGGAGCGCCCTCTTCCTCATGGACTGAAACTCGGCCTCGGCGCCCACTCCTGCAGCCGGTCAACCGCGTGGAGTGCGGGGACAGAGCTGCAATCCCGGCCTCTCCCCCTGCCCGCCGCCCAGGCTTTTCCCGCTCGCTGGCCAGTCCCGGGGGCTCGCAAGCCATTCGGGTCCCCAGGCCCTACCGCAGTCTGCTCCGGCAGCACCGAGACCATTCCCCACACCCGCTGCCCACTCCTTCCAGCCCGCTGCCCCCACCGCTGGAGGGCCCCGGGCGCACAATCCAGTCCCGCCTGCGCCCCGCCTCCTCCGCGACCCCTCCCTTGCCCACTCCCCCACAATCCGAGGAGGGGAGTCGCGGCGCCCACCGACCCCCCCAAAGCCCACTCCCTGCCGCGCGCCGAGGCCCCAGGGGTCCACTCCAGCTCCCGGCCAACTCAGATCTCCGCAACCCGGGCTCCAGACTCGTTCAAACTTCCGAGCGCAGCCCGGAGAGAGCGGACAACTAACCGCTCGGTTCCCGCAAGTAAAACACCCGCCGCGCCGCCTCCACCTCCTCCGCGCGGGCAGAGGGTGCCGACAGTTCTGTCCATTAGGTTTTCAAGAGCTTCAGGGCCGACACAGAGTCAGACCCCCGGGGCTCCGTGGCGGGCGCCCGCCGGAGTGGAAGTCTCCACTTCCAATCCACCTGGGCGCACTGCCCGCCTCCGGCGCCCGGAGTTTCCCAAATCCGCTTCAGGTGTCAGTAGCCCACCCACTCACTGACGCCCGGCCACCGGGGTCGAATCCTGCGGACTCCTCGGCGGAGCCCCCTGGAAACGCGGTCAGAGTCCAAGCCCGGCACCCGCTGCGCACTGACTCAGGCCTGCTCCCGCCACCGCGATCCTGCCCCCCGTGCGCTCCCCGCGCGGCCCCCGCCGCCCCGGGGTCCGAGGTCTGAGCGCGAATCCGGAAGGGAGAAGCAGACGCTGAGCTCGCGGGTACTCACGGTTTCTCGGTCCGCCGGGCGAGCCGGAGGGGTGGCTGAGGCCAGTTCGCCTCCGTCCGCTGTGCGCATGCGTCCCGCGAGTGCCTTATTTTTGTTATAAGTCCAAGTGCAGCCCTTGTTAAGCCCGCGATCGCCCTCCCTGGCTTTCCTCTGCCTTTGGCTCTCGGCCTTTCCAGTCGCCCTCTTCTCTTGCTCTTTCCCTCTCTTGGCTCTGCCTCTCCCCGCCCCTCTCTCCCCCTCCCAGGCTCCGCGATCCCAGGGCTCGCCTCCCTCCTGCGGCGGCGCGCTCCTCTGCGGCGAGAGCTGGAGGTCCTCATTCACGCCCGGACCGTGGTCCCCTTCTGCAGGCCCTGATTAGGAAGTATGGAGAGTGTGGGCGCCGAAGAACCCCCTCGGCTATTCCTTACGCTGGGGTTCGCGAGGACTGAGTGGGACTCCGGCGTGCGGGAGAAAAAGCGTGGGACCTTGTGAATGGAGCGCTGGGAAGGAGGAGCCAGTGTGCGCTCGGGAGTGGGCCGCGCGCCCAGGTGCTGCTGCCGGGAGAGTCCGGCCGCCGACTGTCCGCCTCGGTCGGGCAGTCCCCACCGTCTCCTTTCCCCCGAGTGCTTCTCCTAGCTCGCCCTCCACCCCCTCAGGCTGCAGCGTCAGCCTCCAACGGCCAGATACTGAAAAGGGTTTCTTCACCCCCTCCCCACCCGCTCGAGAGAGTCGAAGGCCCCACCTAGCTGGATGGCGCGGGGGTGGAGGTGGGGGGGAGGAGCGGGGGATAACTAACTCCTTTTGGAATCCGAGGAAGGAGACGACCTGGAGGGTGGGGGGAACCCGCTGCCCAGTTCTGCGGGCGCGGAGGCCTTAAGACCCCGGCGCTCCCTCGGGATCGAGACGCAGTCTGACGGCCGGGGCCGTGCGCCCGAGCGCGGAGAGCTAAACTGAAGTTGGAAGCCGACCTGACACTAAAATAACATCACGTCATTTCCTCCCTGGCTACCCCAGTCCGCTGTAGCCGGGGGCTGGGGAGTGGGAGCGCGAGGAGGGGGCGGAAGCTTGTCCCGGGTTGGCTTGGAGTAGCCGGAGGAGAGCGACGCGTAAAGATGGAGAGTTTGAGAAACCGCCTCGCGGAGGGCCCCTCCCTCTTCCATAGACTCTGGAAGGAAGTGGTCCGGGAAAAGTAGCCTCGAGGGTCTCCTGGGGGGAGGGGTCTGAGGCGGGCAGCCTGCTTTTTTCCTTGAACGTGCGCCGCCGGGTCTGACCTTCCCGCTTGCCCTCCCGCTCTCCCCTTGCTGGCCCCACGTGGAGTGGGTCAGTCCGAGTTAGGGAGGAACCCGGGATTCTGGCGTCCCGGTGAGATCGCGGACTGTGAGGAGACCACAGTACTCACGGGTATGGGCGAGCTCTGCCCGACGCTGGCGTCCACTTCCCGGGGCAGGCGTCCCCCTGGGGGTCGGCCAGGTAGTACCAGAGCTGCCCTGAGCAGGAGCGAGAGGAGTCCCGGCCGCTCCTCGTGCCCGGGCGAGAACCCGGCGTCTGGCAGGGCGGGGATCAGGGCGGAGAAGTCCCGGCGCCGCAGGGGAGCCTCGGGAGGGGGTCGCCGAAGGAGGAGAGCGAAAAAGAGCGCGAGGCCGGAGAGCGTGCTGGAGAGGAGGCTGAGCAGCGTCGGGGCAGCGGGCGAACCCGGGAGCTGTGCGGGGCCGGCGGGCAGGGCGAGAGGCGGGGGAGGAGAGAGACAAAACCACACAAGGTCACTGTAGGGTCCGGCTACAGACCGAAGAGGAGGTGCAGAGTGCCAGTCTGCGGCACTTTGAGGCGTTACTTTGGGGGTGCAAGAGAAGTCGGTGAGAGCAAGAGGAAAAGGACTCTGCTTCGTTTCTCCCACCTCTCATTCCTTCCCTCTCTTCCCTCCGCCCCACCTCCTTCTCCTCCCATCCCCTCTAACTGCCTGCTACTTAAGGTGTGGTCCTTGGACCGGCAGCTTGGATAATACTTGGGAGCTTGTTGGAAAACCAGAATCTCAAACCCTATCCTGACCCACCGCCTCAGAATGGGAATGTTAACATACCCAGGGAATTCTGAGACCCGTTCCCTGTGAGGTGCGGTGCACAGCAGTGTCTGTGTTCATCTCTCTTGGTTCTTTCAAATTTGGTTGAAAATCTCCTAGTTCACTTTTGCAACTCTCACTCTGCCTCATCCTCTCATCCTGCCTCTTTCCGTCTGTCTTGTTCCATCTTCCAAAGTGCCCAGAGCTCTATTAGAGACGGGTGAGGTCACCAGGCCTGTGAGAACTGTCCAGGGGAGGCCTGGTTACAGGCAGGAGACTGAGGGGCCTTCACACTGGAGGAAAATGCACTGGCGATTTGATTTCGGTTGTGCTGGGTACTGGGGTCAGGAGAGACCAGAATTTAGCACAATCTGCAGCCCCCTTTCCACACGCCCTGTGTCCATCTTATTCCTCCAGTGCAGGCCTCTCATCCTCCACTTGTTGCTTGGAAGATCTAAGAGGCTAAGGTAAAGATAAACTATTATTTTCTTGGTATGTATCAGTTCAGTTCAGTTCAGTTCAGTCACTCAGTCGTGTCGACTCTTTGCGATCCCATGAATCTCAGCACGCCAGGCCTCCCTGTCCATCACCAACTCCCGAAGTTTACTCAAACTCATGTCCATCGAGTCTGTGATGCCATCCAGCCATCTCATCCTCTGTCGTCCCCTTCTCCTCCTGCCCCCAATCCCTCCCAGCATCGGTAAACGTTAACTTAGAACTCAGGGGCTCAGGACTCGACCTTGCTACCAACGCGACGGCTAACCTTCGGAAATTCTTATTCTTTGAGTTTATCTGATTCATTTACGCAGTAAAGGGATTGAACTCTGGCTTTTTGAGGTCACCCGCCTTGTTCAGGCTTTTGGAGCTCTCAGAGCTTCTTGGTCCACTAACATTTAGTGAAGTTACAAACCGGAACCTAACTCAGCCAATCCAAACAGCCCCCTCAAGCAAAGTGAAAAGACAATTTAATCTGTGTGTGAAAAGCAAGAGCTAGTGGTTGCCAAGAAAAATAAAGGTGGAGGCGGCAAGCAGCGAAAACAGGCGACCCGGGGGCGTGTCGCGCGTCCTCGGGCCGCGGCAGCCGCTCTCCAGGGTCCTGAAGGCGGGAGCAGCCGCGTGGGCTTGGCGCACGTCCTCGTTCGGCAGTGGCAGGGCCAGGCCTGCTTCCTTTCCTCTGGTGGGAAGCGGGTGTCGGGAGGGAGCGAGGAAACCTAGCAACCCATTCTCATTAATGAGGCCCTTTCTGGGAAGCTGCCGGGCGCGCCGGCTGATTCTTCCTTCGCTCGTTGGTATGCGCCTGGCGAGAGTGGAGCTGGGTTTGCATTTCCGAGCAAGTTCACTGTTTAGCTTCCCTCATTACCTTTTCCTAGAGAACGGGGTCGTTCTCATGGTGTTTTCATTCTCCGCGTGCGGACGCTTCTCTCCCGTCCCCCGCTTTCTGGACCTCTGCCACGTTTATTTTAGGGGTTGGACCCGGAAATCCCCGAGCCTCTGGATGCGCGCCAACGGCTCACTGGAGCGGGGAAGTGAGAGACGCGGAAAGAGCCCAGAGCCGGTCTCGGCGCCCAGGGTCTGTCTCTCGGGGAGGGATGCAGGCGAGCAGCCCCTGGGCGGGGGTTGGGAGAACTCGGCCGCGGTTGCGCCCCTGGATCCGGGCGGGATGCCGCTAGCCCCGGGCGCACCTGCGGGGACCGTGGGCCCTCGGCTGCGGCAGCTCCAGAGCTCTGCGTTTGGCCGCAGGCCTATGCCGCTATGCTAAGCAAGTCAAGAGAAAACAGGCCTGGTTCCCGGTGACCCGGAATTGGCAAGCCCACCCCGCGGCCTTCCCAACCGGCTTCAGGCAAGCGCTGGAACAGAGCGGAGAGCGCAGAACCGGAGCCGCAGGCGCACCTCTGCCGAGCGCGCCCGGCTGCTGGGGCCCTGAAGGTCGCTTCACAGGCCTTTCGTGGGTCCCGGATTTTGAGTCTCTAGCTCAGGTTTTCAAGTGGCTTTTCGAGAACATGTGAACCTGTAACCTGACTCTTCTCCCGCCCCAGCCCTTCTTCCCGAGTTGCTGGACGCCCCTTCATCCGCACGCTTCATTAGGCATTGCGCTGCGGTCCTGTGAGCCCAGACAGAGACGCTTGTGAGGGAAACCGCGGACATGTGCAGGCAGAATATAAAAGGCAGGCTCCTTTGGGCCTCTGGAGAAGTTCACCTCTTCCTCTTCTCTGGAGTGGTGTTTTCCCTCGGGTCAGCAGTCCGCTCCCCCCAGTTCTGGCTCCTGTCTTGCGAAGGACCGTCGGCTTCTCCAACTAGCGGGGGTGGGAAAGCTGGAGGCATAGCGTGCTGAAACCCAGCCCCTTCCTTTGCTCGTATTGGCAAGGTCAGAGCACGGAGTATCAAAGCAGCCACAAAATTCGATCCCAGAAAAGTTATCCAAGGAGAGACCTTCAGCCGCAGGTGGTGCTGATCACTCTGAAAAGCCCTATCTTGCTTTTAGGCCAGGTTCTGTATGACAGTCCAAGGGTTTAAGACACAATTCCAAATGGAATCATCTTGGAATCTGTATTCCTAAAAGCACTGCTCCCAGGGACTCCAGAAGTCTTAGGGAATCCTTGATTCTGATGGGGAATCCACTTTCCTAACTGTTCATGTTGCTTACTGAACCACGCAGAGTCAGTATGAACAGTCTCATGCTCTTCAAAAGGAAAATTCAGAAATGTCATTTACCCCTAAATAGTACATTTCATAAAGGGAACATCCATGGTGGAATTAAACTACTTCTTTACCAAAAACATTCTGAGGGCCTTTAAAATGAAAATCACAGAATGGAATTTGAAATTAGACTTAATTTTTTGAGCTAACCTATTTTTCCTGAACTTTATCTTTTAAAATTTTATTTTGCTGTGGTTTAGCCATGCTATATATTTTAATTTTCTGTCATTGGAAGATGTCGTTTTTCCATGACATCCACAACAATCATATTAGTTCACAACTGCAGGGTTATGGTTCTAATTTTGAATATTTTAATTAAAAATGTAAATGAACTAAAGCATTTGTAAATAATAAGAAAAAAAGATCCATGTACCAAAGTCCTAAGACTTCAAAATCTTCCTCCCTGATCTTTCTCATTTGTTAGCTCACTTAAGAAGCTGAAAAAAGAACAGAAAGGAAAATAAAAGTAAACTAAAGTCTGCACTCTGTCTTCTGTAATATTCCATATCTCCAGAGATCAGGAAGAGACTTTTTTTTATTACATATCAGAAAATTAAAAAGAAAAATTCAAAACTCATTTTGAAGTGTTAGTGATTTTTGGGGGGGTCTCTATAAAAATTACATTTGTCTACACTAGTATAGTTTTTTTAATTATGGATGATTACAATTTTAAAATTATATATGTTATATATTATATATATAATATCAGTTCAGATCAGTCGCTCAGTCGTGTCTGACTCTTTGCAACCCCATGAACTGCAGCACACCGGGCCTCCCTGTCCATCACCAACTCCCGGAGTTCACCCAAACCCATTTCCATCAAGTTGGTGATGCCATCCAACCATTTCATCCTCTCTCATCCCCTTCTCCTCCTGCCCTCTATCCTTCCCAGCATCAGGGTCTTTTCAAATGAGTCAACTCTTCCCATCAGGTGGCCAAAGTATTGGAGTTTCAGCTTCAACATCAGTCCTACCAATGAACACCCAGGACTGATCTCCTTTAGGATGGACTGGTTGGATCTCCTTGCGGTCGAAGGGACTCTCAAGAGTCTCCCCCGCCACCCCCCAAAAAAAGAGTCTTCTCCAACACCACAGTTCAAAAGCTTCAATTCTTCTGCGCTCAGCTTTCTTTATAGTCCAACTCTCACATCCATACATGACCACTGGAAAAACCATAGCCTTGACTAGACAGACCTTTGTTGGCAAAGTAATGTATATAATATTTCATAATATATATTTAAATATGATATATATATACACACACCAAACAAGCTATTCCTAAGAAGGAATACTCAGTCCCCTAACAAAATTGCCCCTATATTTTGCACACTTACTTTTGTCATAAAAAAGATTGACTTCTTTCTACCTTGATGTATCAGCATTTTCAAAATATTCTCATGTATATTACTTGACTAATCACCACTCCCCTGCCCCACCCCCCTTCTATTTAATGAGGAAACTGCAGAGCAGTGAGGTTAGATGATGTTTGTTAGGACAAGTAAAACCATAATTCAAAAAAACATATGTACTTCAGTGTTCACTGCATCACTGTTTACAATAGCCAGGACATGGAAGCAACTTAAATAGCCATTGACAGATAAAGAAGATGTAGTATGTATATACAATGGAATATTACTCAGCCATAAAAAGGAATGATATTGGGTCATTTGTAGAGATGTGGGTGGACCAAGAGTCTGTCATACAGAGTGAAGTAAATCAGATAGAGAAAAACAAAAATATATAAACAAATATGTGTGGCATCCAGATAGAGGTGCAGACATAGAGAACATGAATTGGGAGGTTAGGATTGACATATATACAGTCAGTCAGTTCAGTTGCTCAGTCGTGTCCGACTCTTTGTGACCCCATGAACTGCAGCACACAAGGCCTCCCTGTCCATCACCAACTCCCAGAATTCACCCAAACCCATTTCCATTGGGTTGGTGA